CCTAAAGCCCCATAGCTGTATATCTGCAGTGTGAGATCTAAGCCACTGCTGCCTCTCACTTCTAGTCTCGAATGTACTGTTCTCTTTGCTGAAGGCTCTGACTTTAGGAAGCAAAGCACTGCCTCTGCCAAGATGGCCGCCCAGCAGAACAAGGCATGGTAAGTCAGTAACGGGTAGATATCGGCCTCCGGGAGGCAACAGGTAATACTGGTAACTAGTCCTATGCCCTGTGCTTGGTGCAACCTTACAAAGCAGGGCCTGCATATGTACTAACGTCACTCCTGTGCGCATTCAGTCGGTTAAAAAAAAATACAGACTTTTTTTGGTTTAATCATCAACAAATGCTGATGAGATTAAATTTACTTAACCCCTTCATGACTGAGGCCCTTTTTTCATTTTTTGCACCCATGTTATATTCCACATTTTAGGCCTGAAAATGACTTAAAACCCCCCAACATTATATATTTTCTGAATGCCAAGACCCTATAGAATAAAATGGTGGTAGTTGCAAATTTTTATGTTGCGCAATTTTAGCGCAACTCCTTATTAAACCCCAAATAAACAACCCCGATGCTGGTGACGTACACTGTAGTCACGAAGGGGTTAAAGAGGAAGTGAACTGTGGACGGGTTTCCCAAATAAAAGCCAAGCAAAGGTCAAAGGACTAGTTACCAGTATTGCCTTGTTGCCTCCCGGGGGCCGATATCTACCTGTTACCGACTTAACATGCATTGTTCTGCACGGTGTCTCTGTGCTGGGCGGCCATCTTGGTAGAGGCGTGGCTTTGCTTCCTAAAGTCAGACCCTTCAGCACTGACTTACCCTGTGTCTCTCCTCTTCTCCCGGGCCGAAGCCCTCTACTGCGCATGCGCCCGCCCCATCATGCTCCTCGGCCGCTCGAGAATCTTCAGACGGGAGTGCGTGGCGGAGACAGAGGCGGAAACAGTACAGTGCAGTTCTACTGCAAACTCCCTGCAATCCCCTGCAGCCACAGAGCTCTTCATTTGGTTGCTGGCAGAATACTTCCTAAAAAAGTGTGAGAACCCCCTTCATATGGACTTCTGAAGCACTATAGCTATACCTAGATACAACAATGAAACCTAGTGCAGGTCAGCTAGGCTCACTGTGCACAACTCGATGTTGCACTACAAGTTGATTGGATTGTCCATTTAAAACATACATTCCCCTTACAGAGCTTCTGACTTTTGACATGACAATGATATGTCAACATAAAACCAGGTTCCTCAGCTCAATTAGCTTTTTAAAAGAAAGCCACCGGGTATCCCTACCAAGAAATAGGCCGCACCTTGGCCTATGATCCCTCCCCCTTTTGGTTATGCCTACTGTTATATGACGCCCAATGTACGGGCGATGTGTTGCTTCCTTACACAACTATTCCTGACTGTTAACTGTATGCTTTGTACTTCAAAACCTAATAAAACATATTGAAGAGAAAGCCACCGGGGGGAGGTTCTATTGAAGCCCATTTTTATGAATGGAGTAAAAGCCTCACCTCATCGGTTCCATGTTCCTGCAGCTCTTTGTAGAACTTCAACGAAATACTGATCATCACTTTCGCCTTGTCACCGTTGGGGTTGGAGATGTGATACAGAACGCCATCGAAGTCTGAGAAAAATAAAAAGACAACCTTAAGCTTTATTTGCAACAAAAGAAGAAAAGAAGTGAGATCTTGTGAAAAGGCCAGGACTACTACACTCATCATTGTATACATTCCTTATAAAAAGGGTAAAACACTGAGATGGAGCAGAGCATAGCAAGAGTGGCCATGCGTAGCTCAAATGAAGCATTGCCTGAGGTGACTAGTTTGACTATCTTGGATGTGGCGACGCAATTCGGGATCCCAGCATGCATTTGTGGTTGCTGTGCCTCCGGTGCGTCCCTGCACCTTGTGAGGAGGAGTAGGCTACCTCCAGGTACACCTGCATTTAATTTATCGACGGCATCGATATGCTCCCACTTGGAGACTCAAACAGAGTTAGGACCACACTTTACAGAGGAGCCTTGATGGTGGCAGTGTGGCTTCTACATATTTTTGGCCAAAGGTTTGTGCAACTATAACCTCTGTTTTTAACGCACACTGTTAGACGGGGTAATTTGTTTTGTTGCAGGCCAGCTGGCAGGTGTGCTGGGGATTCCTTGTGTCTTGCACTGGATAAGGATTGGGTCACGCAGGCTCTCCATAGGACCCGGCACACTAGTATTTTGCATACACAACACCTCTTCCCCAAAGATCTTTTGGCTGGTCTGGTGATGTCATGGGCCCTTCCTTTTTTCCCCAGCAGGGGGGGGGGGATTATGGGGAGGAGGGAAGAGTCCCAACTTCTGCACTGAACATAATGGCATATGAGAGGGTTCAGTATTCCGAGTCCAGGCCAGCAAGGCGATATCAGTCCCGAGAATCCATGACAGCCTGGGCTCAGAGGAAGAGGGTTGAATGACACTGGCTGTCAAGAAACCTGCAAAACTGACAGCACCCCTAGTGGCAGAACGCGGTCTCTGTGGAGTGAAGTTCTGGACTGAAGGCGAGTCTTATAGCACAAGCACTATTTTGATTTAACTTCTGCTGGGCTGTTCATTTTTAATACAAGACTGGAGTTCTGCTTTAAGGCCGTTCATATTAAATGGGCTGCCAGCAGACCTCAGCACGCATTCAGTGGACATGTAGCATTGGCAGTGCACAGATAGTTTACATCTATGTGTTGTGATGCATTAAAATGCAAGTGAGCTGTGCTGCCTAGGTGCACTGGGGGTGGAGTGCATTTTAAAATAAATGGCGCTGCAATGTTCTGCATATCTTACTTTTTGGTAATGCAAAGCACTAGTGGAGGGGTGAGCAATTCCAGCCCTCCTGCTGTTGTGGAACTAAATGGTGGTATTGGGGAAGAAGCAGTTTTGGCACCAAGGGAAAAGGGTATTTTAGGGCATTTCTGCACATATGCTAATCAGTGTCTGCACTGCAGGGATCCCCACCCATAAATGCAGTGCAGAAACTGATTAGCATATGGGAAGAAATGCCCTAAAATACCCTTTTCCCCAAAACTGCTCCTTCCCCAATACCACCGTGCTTTATGCTGGCAGAGCTGAGGACCAGACACACCCATCATCACAAGTGCCCTCACACAGACTTACATTGCAGAGGAAGAGGGAGGCGATACTAGGTCTGTTAATGACTGCTGATTACTGAGTGCGCTGGGTCCAGTCTCCGGTAACTAATGGACTAATTAGTTATATTCAGACTCCCTGCACAAACTGCTGACTTTGTACTAAATCTCCATCTGACTGCATATCTAGTTCTGCGCTTTAAGTGGTTAACATAAAACAGTAGTCAATGCTTACACACGATGAGGTATGAAAAAGGTTAGTGTGCCTTTTGCTAAAAAAAAAAAGAAAAAAAAAAAAAAGTGCAACACCTTACGCTTAATTTGCATTTACTGTTTTGCAATGAAGCCTGCAGAGCATTGCACCCATAATCTGTGGATCGTGGATGCAATGCATATGCTCTTGCAATGTATTCCCTTAGACTCCGGTCTATTACAGAGGACGTGCTGTTTTGGAGGAAGTGCAGCTTAAACTACGGCTTGAAGGAGGAGGAGGGGATCCCCGACAAGCTCTGAAATAATCATGTAGTCATTTCCGCCGGGTGATCCCCGACACTGGTGAAGGGGGGTGGTTTGGGTTTTGGGGACGTTGTATGTGACCCTAACTTTGGGTTACATGGTCTAATATGAGCCAGATGTGTCTCCAGTCTTATACCATTCGCTGATGAAGAATGGTAGAATTCGCTGATGCAATAAAAATGATTTCTTAAAATTTTAGAAAGAAAACCTGCTGACACAGTGTTCCTAGGACACGGCCCAGAGAGAAAGTGACTCACGCTCCATTAAAACATCCCACAAGGAATCTGTTTATCTAAAGAGCCTCATGATGGAGACCTGAGTGCATACTGACGGCATATATACAGATTTATATCACCAAATTGCATTATTTGGAAGGCTGAAAAGCTCTGCGGGTCTGTTCTGAAAGCTGGAAAATCTCAGCTATTTATACTCTACCAGCACACTGTGGGAGCCAACAGCTGAACAATAATATGCTTTAGCTTCACACCGAGACGCTTTAGTACATTGGATTCATTTACTAATTCTAGGAGGAGCACATAAAGCTCATCAATACCGGAATAGATTGCTCTGGGGGTTCAGCATCCTGCAATCTAAACGCTCAATCATTTAAGGGGAACCTGTGCTGAGAATAATGCAGGTTAGCATTGCTTTTGAGGATGCTAGTTCCCTGGCTGTTATGGTTTTAAAGAAAAGAATCCCTCCTTCCAAACCTAAAAAGCACATGTGCATGCGACACTGCATGCTGAACTGTAAATACGGACCATTCATATGTCAAACAAACATTATACATTGTACTTAAAGTTGTTTGTTTTTTTCCAAGGCACTGGTGACGTAGCCAGGGATCCCCACGCAGCTACATCACCAGTGCCTTCCACAGAGCTCTCATGTGTAGACATTGGAGGGGAAAAGGCCTCCTGTTTTCGTTATGGATCATGCATTTCCAGGGCTACAGTAACGAGAATGTCAGGTGACATAATGACGCTCACGTTGCTTAAGCTTTGGCAACATATAAAGAATTATAAATCATACAAGCGCGAGATGTGGCATACGGCGTCATCGGTGGGCCAGCACGGAGAACCTGGAAGAAGAAGCAGGCCACTGATGACA